ATGCCCCAAAGTTACATGTGTAAAGTGGCAAGTCAATGATACTACATATTACACTAAAGTAATTTACTATCAATGTAGGCCAGAATTACTAATCATGCAATATAGTAATTTACCTACAAATAAATACAAGTGTCATATATAAGATTTTTACACTAGACCTTCAATGAATTTTCTATTACTTAACAATATAAGTACTAACTCCAAGAAATCCACAATAGACCCTCAATAAAATCACAAGTATTAAACAAGTCATTTAACAATAATTTATCTATTCCATTTAATAGCCATATATACGCTTTAATTCACAAATCCTTAGTCAAGCATAATAAATCTCTATTTATATGCAAATACAAGAATTTAAAAAGCATATAATCAATATATATCAAGCTCCAATAAATATAAAACCCAAAGAGGATAAACATACAACTACCCCTACCTCAATAGAGAATTGAATCTCTATAATTTAATGCAACCAAGTTAAAAATGGAAAACCAAACTAGGGTTTTGTAGAGGAGAGTGAGAGGAAGTTAAAGTATTCCAAGCTTAAAGGTCTAAGGTGAGTGGAAGGAGACCAAAAATAAAGTCAAAGCTCTAAGTCAAGCTTTGCTCCAATGGTGGCTAAGTTAGGGTTCTTGAGAGGAAAGAGATGAATGAAATAAAATGTGAAAACCTTAAGTTAAATGTGGTGGGATTCTCCACTCACTAGGTGCTCTTGCACTACCTCTCACACACACACTTGCAAGACTAAGTATGGTGCCTACACTTGTCACTATCCTAAGTAAACTTCCAAAACTTAATATTGAGCCTACACTTGTCAACCATCCATGCCGAAAAATGCTCCTATCCTAGGCCAACAAATGGGTAAATTTCCACCCTCCATGTGTCATCAAACAAGGCTTCCAAGTGGTTCCACCACAAGATCAACAAGTGGCACTATGAGTGTGTGACATTTGTCACATTTTTCAGAATTTGCAAAAAAGTCCTTTTTGAAAATATCTTCCAAATTAAATTACTAATGGTCCCTAAAACGAAAAATAATTACTTTACATAATTACACTAAAACCTCAAAAGTCAAGAATATTACCAAAAAGTTATGTATCATGTCCTTTACAAGAAAAGTAAACATCTAGTATGTTTTTCTACAAAAGTAAAAATGTAGATATCATAGAAATTAAATATCATTGATGTATGCAAAGCTGGAATCAAATTCGAGCACAAAAAGTGAGGTTATGCAAGGAAAAATGATAAACGAGAAAAAGACGAAAAAAGGAAATTATCAAAAAAAAAAAAAAAAAAAAGGAAAATGACCGGGTCATTACACTATACCCGCCCCCGCCCTCCATTCCCCATCCGCGTTTGATATACACTATAATTTTCTTAACACATAATTTTTCTTATTTTTAGACGTAGGTTTATATATACTTAATATAAGTTAGTAATATATCATAATATATAAAAGTATTTTAGTAAATATACACCCTAAACGGGGCGGTTTTACCTTATCCCCGTCTCTGCTCTCGCTGGGTTTTAAAAAATTACCCCCATCCACGTTTGCATAGAAAGGTCCCTAAACCGTCCTAAACGGGGCGGGGCAAGGACCCGGCTGGGATGAGGAATTTTGCCATCCATACAGGTGGGCGCTTGCCCATTTACTCAAAAACTTAAATTGTTGGATAGTGCTGTATACTTATCTATTTATATACCTTTCAATTTTTTCATCCGGATCTGATGTGGGATAAGTCCCACTTGTAACATTCTCCCCCACCCGAACCTGCGCAATGTCCTCGTTGCGGTCGGGCTACCTTGCCTACCTAGGGAGCAGACCCGGACGTCCTCTGGACAGGGCACTTGACGTGACACCGGATCAAGGACTGAGTTTGACTCTATAACGGGTAGGCGCTTGCCTATTTACCCAAAAACTTAAACTATTGCATAGTACTGCATACTCATTCATTTATACACCTTTCAATTCCCATTGGGTGCAACACTTGGCGTATAGAGTGAGTTATGTTTAAAATATTTTTTTTTCTTTGTCAGGCTAAATGACACTATTCAATGAAAATTAAAAATAAAAAGTGGAAATGCAATAAAGCCAAGTGGATAAGTAATAAAAAATAATAATTTTCTAATATGCATTTGATTTGTATAAAATTTTAAAAAAATAATTATAATAAAGTATTATTTTGTAGTTTTAATAGTATGAAAGTTAATATATATATATATATATGTTAACCTAAATTATCCTTATTTGCATTAAAAAAGATAATAGGAAATAATTATAATAAAGTATTATTTTATTGTTTGAATACTACTAGTATGAAAGTTAAAATATATATATATATTTTTTGGTTCACCCAAATTGTCCTTATTTGCATTAAAAAAAAAAAGATAATAAGTCTAAATAAATTTTTATTGGATAAATATTTTTGATCTTTTCTAAAAAGTAAGAATAATATAAGAATCTAAATAGTTAATTTGGTAGAATATTCAAAGGGATACAAACGACTATACTCTCTTATTGTATAGAGAGAAGCATATGCACTATATTTAAATTTAAAAAGATAAATAAATAAATAAATAAATATATATATATATATATATATATATATATGGCATAATTATAAATCCACGTAATTTTCTCAATAAAGCGAAACCCACCTATCTTTTTTATCAAAAAAAAATAATAAAAAATAAAAAAATAAAGAGAGAAAAGTCAAACTATGGCACATACTATAAACCCCAAGCTCTGTTCCAACCCCAAGATTCGTCAATCAGAATCTCATGCGCTTAGATTTGTCTCTGTATACACATGTAATCCAATCACTCTCAACTGATACATGTTTCCGGTTGTTATAGCTCAATTCAAGTCACTGAACTCCTCCTTTCTCTCTCTATAAACCCCAAGCTGTGTTCCAACCCTCAAATCATTCTCTTCGACCTCTGGCCAAAAACCAAAAATGGAACTCACAGAGCAGTTTCATGATCACCAACCCAACTCTGTTAATCATGGAGTCGTGCAATTCCATGTTCGAATTGAAGCAAATTCAAGCACACATGACTCGAACTGGCTTCATTTTTCACCTCTTTCCTCTACGCCGAGTGATATCTTTTTGTGCACTCTCCGACAATGGCAACATAGATCATGCGCAAGTGCTCTTCAACCAAATTCCAGAAGCCAATGTTTATATATGGAATACAATGATCAGGGGCTACTGCAAGCTCAATTTTCTGAAATGGGTTTCTGTTGTTTTCGCAGAATGGTTCGGGAATGTGTTGAAATGGACAGTAGAACCTTCGTCTTTGCGCTCAAAGCGTGTGAGCTGTTTTGTGGATTCAAAGTGAGCGAATCGGTCCATTGTCGAATTTGGAAGGTGTTTTGTTTCTGATCTGCTTGTGCAAAATGGGTTGATTCATTTTTATGCAAATTGTGGGTGTTTGAATCATGCGCGTTTGTTGTTTGATGAAATTACGGAGAGGGATGTTGTTTCTTGGACCACAATGATTGACGGGTACGCGCAGAAGAATATGCCACACGAGGCTTTGAGGCTCTTTGACTCGATGCTGTCAAGTAGTGTTGAGCCTAACGAAGTTACTATGATCACAGTGCTTTCGGCTTGCTCTCAGAGTGGGGACTTAAGTTTAGGGAAATTTGTTCATGAGTATGTAGAAAAGAAGAATGTGAAATTTAGTCTAAATTTGATGAATGCCATGTTGGATATGTATGTAAAATGTGGTTGGTTGATCACTGCGAGAGAGATTTTTGACAAGATGAAAGCTAGGGATGTTTTCTCATGGACTAGTATGATCAATGGTTGTGCCAAAAATGGGGAGATAGATTTGGCAAGGAAGTTTTTTGATGAAATGCCATACAGAAATGTGGTGTCTTGGAATGCAATGATTGCAGGATATTCACAAAACAATCAACCAAAGGAAGCTATAGAACTTTTTATGACATGGAGAAAGCTGGTTTGGTTCCTATAGAGAGCTCAATCGGGGTGCTTGGATTTGGGACAATGGATTCATCAGTATTATGTTAACAAAAAAAGGATTCAACTTAGTGTAATTCTAGCAAATGCATTTATAGACTTGTATGCCAAATGTGGGTTGATTGATGCGGCTGCAGAGCTCTTTAATAAAATGCCGGAGAGAGATTTGGTGTCTTGGAATTCCATGATTGTTGGATGTGCTTCTCATGGGCATGCTAGAAGGGCCCTTACCCTTTTCGAGCAAATGAAAAGTATGGGATTCAAGCCTGATGAAATCACGTTTGTAGGTGTCTTGTCGCTTGCAGTCATGGTGGATTGGTTACTCAAGGCTGGGAATATTTTACAAACATGGAGAAGGTTTTCGGGTTAAAGCCAAAACTGGAACATTATTCATGCATGTCAGGGATACACAAAAATTTGGTCAAACCGAAAATCCAAACCAGACCAGACAGTTTGGTTTGGTCACAGTTCTAAATTTGTGAAACCGTAAAGATACGGTTTGGTCACGGATTGAGTTTATTTAGGACCGAACTAGACCTAACCGAACTGTTATGTTATATATATATGTTAAATTATACGGTATATATAATATAATATAATTATACAATTCAAATTACTTAGAAATTTGTAACAACTATTAATCTTGTGATCCACTTTTAATTTTCTTAGGTCTTATAATTTTGAATTGTGGCTGATTGATTGTTGTTGAATTAATAATCTAAATGTATTAGGTTATTAGCAATTCTGAATTTATTTACTTCAGTTTTAACAACAACAATTTTGAAATCGAACTCAACCAAACCGGTTACAATTGATACGACACATACCACGTGTTTGGATAATGATTTTCGATAACTTCTTAGTATTAAACAAAAAGGTAACTTTTTCATGCAAGAAGTTACTGAAAATCATTATCCAAACTAGTGGTTTGCATCAAAAGTTGTTCACAAAAATGCCAGAGTACAAATATCCATTAGTGGTGTTGTATTTGAGAAACATTATAACACAAATATCTATACATTATAACACAAATATTAAAATGTGACCATTTGTAACATGAAGTAGCCACGGGCCCACCGCAACAGTTTGTAGTTTGTGCCATCATCCTATCTCAGTCATCTGACTCTGACTCTGACTCTACTATACTAACAACTGGTATGTGTTGTATCTTATACCAATCCTCCCCGCTTCCCTTCTCGAATCTCCTTTTGAGTTGTACACCACATCCATAAATATCCAAAGTTGTGAGATTGGTTAGGCTTTGAATGCTGTCCGGAAGTGAGTCAACCTTAGGGCAATACCGAATCTCCAACGATTGAAGAGATTCAAGATTTCCCAAACAGTCAGGCAACGATGTTAGCTCTCCACATCCATCGATTTGTAGAGATTGCAGTGCAGGGACATGCTGTAAGGCCTCCGGCAAAACCACCATCTTGCGATTAGAAATGTACAGATATCTAAGGGAATGGAGGTGTTTAATACCCTCCGGCAGAGAAACGAGCTCGTGGCAATATCCAAGAGTCAACCTCTCAAGGGCTTTGAGGTGTTGCAGTCCCCCAGACAAGGACTTCAACTTTTTACAGTAAATAAACTGTAAAGAACGGAGAGAGTTGAGGCCTTGTAATCCTTGTTCCGGTAATGACTCAATCTCATCACAACTCCGGATCGCTAGTGACTCAAGAGCACTGAGGTTTGAGATCGAACTCAACAAGACATCACTGCATCTAACTACTTGTAAATCTTTGAGTGACGGAAGGCATGACATTAATGTCAACTTAGGGCAATCATCAATAATCAATCGGGAAAGACAAGGGAATACATTTTTTTCTTCCTCTCTTGACAACCTTTCCAAACATGGCATGTGAGAAATGTGAAGAAGTTTCAACCAACGCAATCGACTATATGGTGGAACACTTTGATAATTTTTGCAACCATCAAGTGAAACCCTAACTAAATTTTGAAGCAGTACTAGATCACTCATCCAGCGTGGGAAAGAGGTACCTGGATAGTCTTCTATGATCAACTCTTTAAGATTTGGGTGAGGTTTAAGAGCATCTAGTACCTGTTCAGCATTTTCTGATTCACTTCCAATATTCCAACCCAAACGCAAGCTGTAGAGGTTTTTTTTCTGGGCTAAGTTTGCTTCTCTTGCATCCACCCAATTCTCCACCCTCTCCAGATGCTTAATATATAATTTTCCTCCCAGGTTTAACCCTTGCAGCTCACCCAAATGAATACCTCTCCTCCCATCCGCAATGAAAATACTTAATGACTTGAGGTTGGTTAACTGCCCAATTTTTGGAGCCATTTCTGTTAGAGCACGACAGCCTTCCATAAATAGATGTCGGAGATTAATCATGCGTCCCATGTGGTTGGGTAAGCTCCGAAGACTCTCACAATAATTAAGGTCTAAGGTCTGCAAATTCAATAGGTTGCATAATGACTCGGGAAGTGTCTTCAATCTGTGATTCTCAGAAAGATTCAAGTACCTTAAATGAATTAAATTGCCAATTGAAGATGGAAGCTCAACTATAAAAAAGTCACTTACATTTAGAACTCGTAAGGTACTAAATTTCATCAAGTTATGAGAAAATGCTTTCACAAATAATGTTCTCAACGATTCAACATTTTCTAATACTTTAGAGTCATAAACAGATGTGACGTGACGAACACTCCTGTTTGGTTTATTATTTGGCTTTTCATTCTCCATCACATGGCATTCATCTTCCATAATAGATTGAGCAAGATCGTGAACAAGATCATGCATCTTGAAACTTTTAACGTTGCCAAAATCATCGTTCTCTACCTCTTGGAAGAAAGATCTCCAATTCAATTGATTCCATATTTGATTACCAATATCCTCCAATTGCTCTGTCCCATTAGACGAAATAAAACCATTGGCCATCCATAAATGAATTACATGATCCTTGTCAATTGTAGAATCTTTTTCAAATATGGCACAGTAAGCAAAACACTGTCTATACTTAATTGGAAGGTTATGGTAACTCAATCTTAATGCAGGCATTATATACCTCTCATTATCTTGTGGTAAATTCCAAATTCCACTTTCTTTAACATGTAGCCACTCGCTTTCTTCAATTTTGAAGTGCATTAATCTTCCTAAAGCCTTTGCAGCTAAAGGGACTCCCCCACACTTCTTTACGATCTCCTTCCCAATCACCACAAGATTTGGAGTTTCATCCTTGACTTGAAATGCTCCTTGCTTGAACAATGACCAACAATCATCTTTTGATAAAGCTGACAACTGATGTGTAGGGAGCGTTCCCATAATTGATGCCACTTTTTCGAGATGGGTAGTGGTAATAATTGAAGCACCCCTTGATCCATATGCAAGTATAGATTTTAAGGTGTCCCACTTTTGTTCATCATCGTTCCACACATCATCTAAGACCAGCAAATATCTTTTTCCATTCAACTTATCTTGAAGCTACATTCGGAGAAGATCTAGGCTTAAATCTTCACAAGATTTCCCACATACTGATTCTATAATCAGTTTTATGACCCTCTTCACTTCAAAATCTTCTGAGACACAAACCCAAATTCTCGGCTCAAAATGCTTGATTACCCTCTCATCATTGAACACTAGTTGAGCAAGCGTGGTTTTTCCGAGCCCTCCAATACCATGTATAGGAAGGACGGAAACACCCTGACACTCACTTGCATGCATCACCAGCTGTTCGATGATATTTTCTTTGTCATTTTCCCATCCATACACTACATCTCCTTCATTTAGAAAAGAGGTGATCTCACGCCATTCAGGAATTTCAACTCTATTCATCACAACCTCCCTCTCTTGCAAATGAAATTACGTCTGCTCGTTAGCAATTGCATCCAAGTTCTCGTTAATCTCTTTCATTTTATTTCCAATCCTACGACGAAATAGAAAATTGTCTGGAATAGAATAACAAGATAGGAAGCAAGCACATACCTTATCAAGAGATCCAGAATTATTGCGTTTAAATTCCAATTGCGCGGCTTTGGTTGCGCTCTCATCCAAGACGTCATCAATTTCATAAACTGCTTGTTTGAGCTTCCGCAACCAAATCTTAATCGCCTTGTTTTGCAGTTGCTTCTGCTCAGCATCTTCAAGAACAGCCTTTATTGTAGTGAGCTTGCTGGAAAGCTTTTTCTTCTCCTTACCAACACCGCATATCAACCCAATCTCCCCCTCTACGAAGGAGGCCAAACGCTCCAGCACAATTTCAACAAGAAGTGTCTCTGCCATTGTTAGTTACTGAGCAAAGAGAGTTGATTATGGTTTCACAATGCAAGAGATGGATCTCAATGAACCAAGATGGTAAATGCTGGAAGAAAGCAGTGATAATATTGTCTAATTGGACGATAGCATATGGCTAACTCTCATTCACAAACCACATATGTCACTGCTCATTCGCATGTTCAGTGGGGCCCTTATAGGGGGAAATTGATCAGAAATGTGGACCTCTCCATTGAGTGCTAAGTAATTACGCCATAAAAGTTAGAAATGTGGACCTCTTACTTCAAGTAATCCACGTATACATGTTAAGAAAATCATTATAAATATAAATAAATAATTGTTTAGCAGTTCACAACTTAAATTCATTATATTATAAAAAAAAACAAGGTGATTTTTTTTTTTTTCATCAATAGAACTTAATTATCTCCTAGTCTGTAAATCGATTGGGCCTTTACATTGGACTAGGCTTATAGCTTGTTTTGTAATTATTTTTACATATGTATATATTGCACTTTAATTTTTTTGGGAAAAAAATAATTAATTAATTAAATGACATTTAGTAGTTCACCTTTTTTTTTTTTTTTCCACCAAATAGTTCACCTAATCAAGCTCCATTCACAAACCACCAATAATTAAATGACATTCAATAGTTCCCCTAATTCTCATGTGGACTAGAATTGGATTGACTTACTTCTGTGGAAGTCTTCCTTTTCCACACATACTTATTATTCCACCACTTATATCATTATCTGTGTCCATACAATCACCTTACTATTTTGGATAAATTACACTCACACTTGTTATGTTTGACTTAAAAATAAGTAATTACGACTTGGATACTTTTTTAAGCAATAACATTTTAAGTTTGATGAATTGAGCAATGACATCTCGAATCAAAGTAAAAAGTATTTTCTTACCCTTTAACTTATGAATTAACTTATTTGAATTATGAACTTACACCTTCTCAAAACATTTTAATTTTATTCATTAAAATACTTATGAACAAGTTACATTCCACAATTTACATTATATCAAATTAAATTATAGTTTATCAACAAAAAGTACCATGTTCACAAAATGAATAAGTTATATTACTCTTCAAAGAGGAATAAACAATTGCATTGGTTAGGTGCAAAATTTATTAATTGATAAAATTTTTAATTTTATATTTTATCCACCTCTAATTATAAATAAAAATTTTGACATTGAAAAGTGATAGATTTAAATAATAACATTATTATAGCGTAACCTATTGTCCATTATATTCAATAATCATCTAATCTTAAACTCAATTGTTATTTTTTTTTCCCTTCATTCATAGTGTGCATGTTGAGTTTGGAGAAAGTTCGTGATATCCCGAGTAACAACTAATTGACAGACATGAAAACTCTCAATTTGTCTAAATACACGAAAACTTGAAATTTTATTTTATTTTATTATTTTATTTTTTTATGTCTACCACATCCACATGTTAGTTGTTGCCAATAATTAAATGACATTTAATAGTTCACCTAATTTGAAACTCTCAATTTTTTTATTTATTTATGTCTACTACATAAGCTGATGGTTGCTGGTCATGACTACTACCAAAAAGCTCCAATGAAGATGAATATTTCACCGTGTGACCTGTTAAAGAGAAATAACGAAGCAAGTGGGGACGGGGTTCGAGACAAAGAAAGATCAAGGCAGCATATCAGTTTTTCCGCGACCTACTTTGATTCAAAAAAAAGAAAGTAGAAGGGCGGATGTGTGACGTTTGGAGTTGTCGTTTGCGCATCATCTGGTTCAAACTTAGGAGCTACTGCCGCATCTCTCTTAACAAAATTCTGCTTTTAACGCAGGGGTATGTTAACAAATTGACAACTATGAGGATGTGCGAGATCCCCTGGAAGAAATACGAAGAACAGATAGGGGTATCGTACGTGAACAAAGGTTGAATTCATCTCAACTTAGTAGGTTTGGTGGCATACCTTGTCAACAAATGTCACATTATTGCTTAGAGACTTTCTTGATGTTGAATTACCTACTACTTTTTTTTCTTAGCTTTTTCAAACAGACCTTTACCTTAGTAATCCTCCCCGAACGAGCAACTCAAGATCATCCTATAATAACGAGAACGGCATTTTAGGAGAGAGTGCGGATCCTAGAATCCAAAGATTTTAAGTGATTTTTTTTTTCTTTTTTTATATATATTTTAGAAGTTCACTTTACTATTTTTTTTTTTTTTACAAACAAGTAAAAATAAGTGAAATTTCACCATTTTAATAATGAAATTCACAATTGAAAGTGAAAAAATTTTAAACTAGACATAGAATTACCCATTAATATTACAAATATTATTGTTATTTTGTTCAAATTTGACTTTGGATTCTCACCTCATGTCACTTTCTGATTTATAATTAGATTAACTGACTTTAGTCAAGTCTTCCTCTTCTCACATACTTATCATTCCACCATCTATATATATGTTCCTTCACAATTAATTTGTATTACTTATTAGTCATGAACAACATTGGATATGTACAAGTTAGGAAAATCATAATATAAAATTAAAAAATGTCTACAGTTTACTTTTAGTATGATTGTTTTAAGTCAAAATTGTCCATCAAAACTCACATCTTGTATTACTTATTAGTCATGAACAACATTGGATATGTACAAGTTAGGAAAATCATAATATAAAATTAAAAAATGTCTACAGTTTACTTTTAGTATGATTGTTTTAAGTCAAAATTGTCCATCAAAACTCACATCTCTTTCTTTTTTCATCATATAGATTATTGAGAAATCAGAGGTAATATAAGAGTGTCGATCTCTTGTCTAAAGTAAAAATTATAAATCACATTCAATAAATCAATATATATATATATAAGACGATATTTTCAGTTACTGATATCAACCAAGATTATATTTGCTGAAAGAAAGCAGTGATACATTGTCTAATAGAATATAAAGATAAAAATAAAATAGAATATGACTTTAGTGAAAATAATTGCTCATGGTGGTTGCAAAATAAATGACCAGGGACTCATTCATATGTGGCTGAAAGTGGATTGACTTACTTTATTGAAAGTCTTCCTCTTCCCACTTGCCATTCCACCACTTATAACAGTGGCCTGAAAATTATTTTGTAGGACTCATTAGTCATAAATCAGATTGGATATGGACATGTTAGGAAAATCATATAATTTTTAAAAATAAAAAATAAAATAACAAAATTGTCTACCGTTTTCTTTTGAGTAGGCAAAAAAATATTTGTGACATTAATCTACCATTGATCTTTGTCTTTTATAATGATTACAGCATAAGCACAATTAAGGAAAAATTAAGAATGAATAACACGGTGACTTATTGTACGTTATATTCAATAATCAACTTAGTTTGAATGATTGAGAACTCACTTCTCAATGAAGTAATAGAAGTGTGCACGATGAATTTAGATAATATCCTGGTAGTAATCAAATGACAGATATGAAAACTCTCAACTTGTTTAAATACACGAAAAATTGAATGTTTTTATATCTATTTATTGAGTAGGGTACCACATATTGATTGGTACCGCTAACTATTGTAGACTTTTGCATTGGAGTTAGATATGTAAATATATCTTGTCACATTTAATAAATCCCAAAAAATTAAGAAAACCTATAAATAAAAGAAGTTGAATAGTTCAACTACCTGGGCATTGCTCAAGGACCAAAAAAAGGTAATAATAAATGGATCACTTAATTTAGACCTCAATCGCATGCGGCTGAAAGTGGATTGATTTGTATAAAGTTTTCCAGGATGATACATGTTAAGAAAATCATTACAAAAAAAAATAAAAAAGTGGACCTCTCACTCCAAGTAAATCCACGTATACATGTTAAGAGAATCATTACAAAAATAAATAAATAAATAAAAAATAAAAAATTGTCTAGCAGTTCACAACTTAAATTCATTGTATTCTAGTAAAAGAAGATGATTTTTTTTTTTTCCTATTGTCCATCAATAGTAGTGAATAATATTCTTGTCTGTCAATCGAGAGAAATTATTAGTCCACCAAGTGTCAAATAGATCAGGACTATTTAATAATTTATCGTAAATCGATTGGGCCTTTACATTGGACTAGGCTTATAGCTTGTTTCGTAATTATTTTTACATATGTATATATTGCACTTTAATTTTTTGGGAAAAAAAATAATAAATCCATTCACATGCGGGCTAGAATTGGATTGACAAGCAGCCTCACCATCACAATTAGTAATTTTGATAAATTACACTCACACTCTCTTAGATTTGAGTTAAAAACAAATAATTAGGACGACACTTTTTAAATAATGATACCCTAAGTTTGATAAATTAAACAATGACACTCAAAATTATGGTAAAAAGTATTTTCTTACCTTTGACTTATTTAAATTATGAACTTGCACCTTCTCAAAGCATTTTAATTTTATTCATCTAATATTTATTTATTATTTTTTTTTTTCCTAATTGGGACTCACATACACTACCTCCAAGGTTTGAACCCCTGACCTCTCTTTGAGAAGTAGGAACCTTGTACCGCTAGGCCACAGTTTTTCAGCTTAATTCCGCATACAAATGTTGCCTAGTGTTGATTGGATTGATAGCTAACTGTCACGAGCCTAAGATTTGGCGCAGCGGCACGGCCCGTGCTGCACCAAGGCATTGTTTCAGCTCGCGCAAGCGCCCTGGTCAGCCACCACGACCTGCCCTCCCAAGGATACATGCTGATTGGTTTCGACCTGCCTTGGTCTCATCAGGGGAACGGCTCCAGCTCCCGACCAGTTTGTGCAGGGATGGCCAACTCCCTTCTTCATAGTCAAGTCCACGACTAGCGACAAGCACCTCGAACTGAACCAAGTCAACTTGCCTGAACTCTGAAGAAGTACCATCCTATGCTCCTGCACGCCCCTTCTCTGGAACCATTCTCAGTCAAACTCTACTCTTTGCTAATCAGCATGCATGTCTTCCATCCTCCAAGCGTTTTAGGAATCACTTCATGACACAGCGGTGAAAATACAAATGTAGCCTAATGTGAACAAAATTTGTCCTCTTTTGTAAAATAGAAAGTTGAATGTTGAAATACACCAAAACATAACATCATAAGATAAATAATATATATATATATATATATATATATATTCAGGAGTAAGCCACGGAGTGAATAAATAAAGTGTCACCCGTGGAGGACCTAGCTATATCACCACCAATCAATAAGCTGTGTATTTATCCAATCACGGTATCTGAGTTACCTAGCCAGCAAGTCCATCCAGGTGATGCTATCACTGCTCTTGGCAGTTGCAAAGAAGATGCCCATTGGTGTAAGTCATCCTCTATTATTATGAAATTTATGACTTTTTCCAATTGATGAATCGGCTAGAGGGACCACCTAGCTATATTCCCCACCAACGAAAATTTGGTTCTCTCGCTTCTTGCGCATTGACAACCCCGAGAGGATTGCTAGGCTTGTTACCAATTTTGATGATGTTACTTTGGGGATGCACTCAATTACATTCAATTCCCCGGGTACTATATTTTATAGAGCGAATAAAGCCGCCACCGCCATCAGTAGGGAGCTTCTGGCCGTGATCAAGGAGAAGAAGGACATTCACTTTACTATTTTTTATTTTTCTTTTCATAAACAAGTAAAAATAAGTGAAATTTCACCATTTTAACAATGAAATTTACAATTGAAAGCGAAGAAATTTCACACTAGGCATAGAATTACGCAATTATATTACAGATATTATTGTTATTTTGTCCAAACGTGACTTTGAATTCTCATTCTATCTCACTTTGTGATTTATATGGTTTAAGAGGATAGTAGCCCATGGTCACCTTTTAATTATATTATGTTTTTGGTGGTGTAAATGGGTTTGGTTGTGTCATTGGATGAGACCAGACTCCCTTTCAAAGTTTCATCACAAGTTGGATTAAACTTATTATATAATCAAATTCAATTTGCATCTAAACTTTTTAAATTTGAATTGATAAATTATACAAACTTTTCTTATGATTTGAAAAATTATTCGGACTTTTCCTAAAAATGAAACTAACAAATACGAACCTCCCTTCTGTTAAGGTTAATGCGAGTCAATGATAAATTTTGCTGATATCATGTACTAAATAAATTAAAATTCAATATTACC